TTTAAAAGCGTATACACAGGTTTTGCGAACATTATGTTGCTACATGAAATAAGATGCAAGCGGATTGCCAAATCAATGCATCGACCACCGTTTCGTATCCTGAAACTTCGAAATTGGGATATCTAGCAGAAAGCGTTAATTTCTGGAGAGATTGAAATGTTGAAGTTGTTTTCAAACCTGAAATTTTGCCCTTTCGCTCGCACTTGCCAGAACAAACCCGAATTTTCCTCAAAGGATTGTGTTGATTGCAACTGACATGAGTGGGCGCAATTAATCACGTCTTAAATTTAACGACTTAACGTCTTGCTAAAAATGCTACGCGAGGAGATCATAAGCGTCAGTGTATTTTGTCTTATGAAAGCAGGCTGTCGTGAAGGCGTGCATTTTAGAGCCAAAATCTAAGAATTACATTTTCACTGACAAAATGAAAGAAGACAAGAAGACCATCAGTAAAACGGGACGTTGAAATGAGCAAATCAGGTCATCGGACAACATAAAATGTAACGATATGCCACAGAAACTCGGGTGGCATCCAGTGATTCTTTAAACAGAAGAGTCTTTGCACTATTCAGCTCTACCTAGTCACAGAGATGGATTTGTTTTTAGTCTCCTGCTCCGGGTCAGAGGCGAATATTCACACTTTATTTTCGGTCAGATCTCGTTTTATTGGTAACGTCTCGGCTTGCTAAACAGCTATCTGAAGTAATTTGGAACAGGAATTGACAACGAAGACCATAATTGCAAACCAAACGACCGATAAAGCCCGAATAATTGTTACTTATTTCAGTAAGGAGGTAACTGAGGAGAACCCAGGAAATTTTTCATTTATAAAATCAACAAATTAATTAGATTAAACGAACTCCTTCGAAAAAATGATTTTAATTAACATTTTATAGTCTTTGTTAATTGAGTGATCACTTAGGAGCTCGATCTGACTGGGAATGACGGGGAATAAGTTAAAAAGGCTATGGCGTGTTTTAGAAGTGACATTCATTCTTGTATGCAGTTCTGTGAGGTGCGGACTTTGAAGCTTTGACGATGCGCACTTTATCCCTCCTAAGAAAAACGTCACATAAACATCACTGTTGGACACCCACACGCCAGCTTAGGAGGCCTACGTTAAACCTGTCCCATCAACAATCCCAGAATTTGAATTTTCGCACTGTTTATCCATAGGAGGGCAAACAAATTCCAGCTGCTATTCTGTTTTAAGTTTAACAAACCTAACAGTTAGGAAGTACTCATTCGAAAGTGTCTGTTCCCGTTCATAAAATCTAACGACTTTCGAATCTTTATTTGCGAGTTGAGCGGTCATAAGCAAGCTTTCAGAAGTGACAAGATTTAAAAAATTACAATAACAGAGCTTGAAAGTCTGTAAAAAATAATCTCTGC